ACGAGCGTACCTACTTTTCATGAACGTAGGACGTAATGGTTACATCAACGAACCAGATGATCCTTCAATAATTAGGTATTATACGACAACTAAAATAGTTAGACAAATAATAGATATTGCTAAACCACGACGGAGCTGCACAAACTCAGCTCTGGTACAACTATTTGGTATTACGATGCGTATAATACATTGTGCGTGCTTTACTCACGTAGTAAAAGCCTATTGTCTAGTATTGATATTTCTAGATATTGTGAGATATTTGCTGAATGCTATGGTGAACATTACAGAACGCCAATGAAGGCCCTCTATCGTAACCTGTTTTCAATTAAGTTATTGTCTATTATTTAATAGTTAACTAAAATAAATCTTAATTTAGAAAAATCATCTTCCAAAGATGCCGCGATAGTGATAGCGATAGTTTAGCGAACCGTCCTCCATACGAATGATACACAATCTGGATAGCTTCAATCTGACGCCCAGGGTTCGCCAGTATCAGGCACACGTACCTGACCGCGTAGGGCAACTGAATTTCCTGCACATAATATTTTTAAGCAGCATTAGTCATTGAGATAGTATGGATCCATCAAGCTCTGGCATTTTTAGAAGACGAGTAGTTAGCGATTGTTTTGCTATTGCTCTTATACCTCTGACTATGGAATGTCGACGTTTTTCTGTCCGAACCCGTCTTAGATGTTTATGAATAGGTTATAGAAGCTGGGTTAGGCAACATTTTAGTGTTACTTTTTTTTTTTTTCCTTATATAATATCGCTTCACGACAAAATGACCGCTGAATATTTTTGAGGATCTACATAGGGAGCTATTGTTTGTGCCGACGAAAACTAGCGATAACCTAGGTCGAAATTCGGTTTCGAATTCGGTAGGACGTTCGTTGTCTAAGCTTCGATTTGAACACGCAACGAAGTTCAGGCTTCGAAAATCTACCATGACGTTTCACGTGAGGGGGTTGTGTTTCAAAATAGATCCTGTTATCCAAGCAAAAACGTTATATATGCATCACTTGTTGCTCAATTACCCTATCAGCACCTAGACGTTGACCTAGAGCTTAGTAGTTTGCTTAACAAACCAAACTACCAAGGTCTTGGCCATTTGAAAACTTAATACTGCTGATTGCTTAGGCCAATATAGTTCAAAGATAATTCATTAACCGGTGCGGATGCTAGCAAAACCAATCCTCTTCTCCAGAACAGCACAGATAGATGTCTTCGGGGATCTTTTGTTGGAAAAGGTATAGATCTAATAATCTCTGGGTCAACCCTGTGATAAAAATGACGAGGAGCATAGCCTCATTTGAAGAACAGTTGGTGTGATCGATAATGGCATTGAGGTGTCGGCGCAAATTATATCATTGTCGGGCAGTAAGTTTCTCGGAAGCAGCTGTAGCGAAAACGGCAGATGGACGCCACATCCTGCTGCCTCTACGACTACAAAGAAGTTGATCAAATCACTAATCGTATCATTCTACCCCTCAAATAGGCACTTTTTGAAGATTAGTGATCGCATCATCGCAAGCATTGATCAGCAAGAACTGATAAAAAAAAAACAACATTTTGCCAACGAAAAACGACCAGCAATTATCCACATTGTATAATCTTGGTCCAATAATATACAGATAAAGCCGTTTTTGCTGGTGGTTAGTTGTATATAATTTTTTCTTCTTTTTTTTTTTTTTTCTTCGTAGATTTTACGTAAATATCCATGATCCGGGTGTGAGGAATTCTTTTCTACGTGGTGTTTCCTTCATAATTTAGGTCAAAATCCAGGCCAACAATAACTTAAATTATTACACTGTAATATAATATTACTTGATGACACGCCAGAAACGAGATGAAAACGGCAATCGAGATGTATATAATATTTGTCTTTGGGTATCTATAAGCCAACAAAAAAAAAAACTTTAAAAAAAATGTAATTTTTAGCGATGTCCCAGGGCCAGAGTTGATACGTCAACTGAAGCTTATCATATAAAGCATTTAGGTTTAATATGTGTAAACATATGTTATGACAACATGTGACGAAGGCCAACAAACGCTAAAGTCCTGATAACAGATTCGATCAGCGACCGCCAATGCCCATTAGATCTTGTTCTAAATCTGATGAAAGCTAGGTGTTTTGCTAAGGAATCGATCGGAACTTGACATGTCGTGCCACGTCGGAGGAACAGAATTAGCGCATCGGTCGTGATCGCTAACTCTGAAAGAAAGCATGGAACTGTACTATAAAAATATATTGAAACAAAATACATCACAAACGAGCTAAGCGCAAAGTTGAATTTTATCAAATTATACAGGCACTACCAAATGAATTGCTAGTTTTATCTTATTTGCGCAGGTCTTGTTGCAGTACAAACGTTAGTGACTAAGGTTATCTGTGTTATATACTTGAACCCTTGCGGCGTAGGCTAGTTTAGATGGCGCTGTTGGTGGCCCATAAATAACGCAAATTCAAAGGATCGGGTTTTGAAGAGAGCAAATTAACCATTCAACGAATAGAGACCAACTCGGTTTAGGATAGATCTGCGCATAAAGATAAACATGGCGGCAAATCGACAGTCTCGATTAAGAAACGTGGTTTTTTCTCTGCATAGCTCAATCGAATTGAGTGGTTAGTTAAGGTTCGTACCGGGAGGTCAACTCACCGTTTACCAGACGTTTATGAACGGTACTAAAAATGAAAGAACATCGGTAATATTCAATTATAGCTGAAATCTGCTCAGTCCCTAGTTTTTTTGTAGACTAAGAATTTTTTGACCCCAAGAACAACGCAATGTAACATTTTGTTTACATCCGTACTTCACATAGCAAACGGTCAATGGAAAATTTATTTTCACGCACTCAGCAAGACACTGAATTCGTGTCCAATTAGGGTGAAGAGGGCCGGACCTAGCTAGCTTCTGCTACACGACAGTGTGGAAAGAGCTTTCATGAAAAGCTCCTAAAGGTTATTGGCTCAGATGCCTAATATACCTGTTACCGTTGATGCCATATGTCGGGTGCAAGATAAGTCTAAAATTGACACGGTATATAATAATAATAATAATAACAATTATAATTACTATTATAACCTGATCTATATTGTTACGAAGCATTGCTTATCTTTACTGTGCGAATGATGCGCAGCAATGCCATTAAATCCTATGCAGAAATTTGACTTCGTATTGTTTCGGCATGACTTTTAATCTACATATTATGGTTCACGTTGTCCTGCATTAAGGTAAAAAAAATTAGCACTTAACTAAATTAACGATACCTTAAGCTCAAAACTTAAAGTGGAATAGCAAAATTTTGTAGTTTTACCTAAATAAGACCTGCGCATTTCCTAGCATGGTGAATCCATTATGCATTGCAGTGATTAAGAGGATATGCCCCTTCAACCCCTCCCACCCCCCCCTTTCAGTGACTTCTAGCTTGAGAAACGTATTAAAGTTGACTTTAGCCATTGTTTCATTGAGTAAGTGCCCAGTTCCAAGCATATTGTCGATTATCGCTACCATTCACATAGTCCAATATCACAATTCCGCCAATGGGTTAGACTCATTGCGGCCGCAATCTATTGAATTCATCGCGCTATGAGGGCTTTCTTTCAACTGTCAGACTGTGCTCGTTTGGCCGATGGCGCGCTTCTCGGTAGACGAAACGTTTGCTATAGATCTGCTGTCATTAGGTCGAAAAGTTCTTACGTGCGTTCTCGCATGGCTCGCATCCCTAGCCAAGAAAAGAAAGAAGAAGCCAAAAAGAAAAAAAAAGCGCTCTATACTTTCGTACGTCGCTGTATTTGTACTTAGGCTTGCACGGCCTACGCAGTTCTCTCGCACGCTGCGCCTATTAACACCGATAGCTGTTTATCACTACTGCAGCTCAAGGTACTCCTAAATGAAGTAGGACCGAGATGAAGTATGTGTCTGAACTAGTAATAGCGGAGGACGACAGGGAGAAGGAAGAGGGCCAAAATTCCTTTTTCTAGAACCTTGCACCCACCACCGACCGGTTCCCCGATCTATGTCCTATTCATACGTAGAATCCAAGTCTGATTTATTAGCTATTCCGACTACTCTGGCAGTTACCCATACCTTCCCTTTTGTTGCCCAGATCTGTTACTATCCCTTGCCTCACTTAGCTGGCGGGACAAATGATTTTCGCCATTCGAATCTGTTGGAGAACCAGTCATCCAACTGCCGCCAGTTGCGGAGCATTCAGCTGAAATAGAGAAAGGTTGGGGTGGAATGGAGGAAGAAAAGGCGATATGGGGTCATTCGCATAGTCAGCGATGAGCGGGCTGACTCAGGTTGTCTGCCTGTCAACCGCCCCGCTATCGTGTTGCCCCCTATTTCTCGTTCGTATGGAAACTACCCGCGCAAGTTAGATGTGCGTTGTCCGACCGCTTCGAAGTAACAACAGCGGTCGCGGATCGAACACCGGTGGCCAGCGATAACAGAAGCACCATAGAAGTTCCGTTGTTAGTAGAATTCGGGCCGCCAGGCGCAGCGCACGCTTCGCTAGCTTTTTCGTTCAGCTGCGCATCGTTCATGCCTGTAGGCACGGTGCAGGCTGTACAGCAGCGCTGTGGTGTGTGCTATTGTCAGAGTAATATTAGCAGCACTACCAATCGAAGCTTGAGCTTTTGATGGGGGAAAAAGCATTTGTCTGCCGCCTGCTGGCGCTGATGCTTTTGCTCCAGCAACAAATCGTAGCGGTGAATGTATGACAACTGCGTCTCTTGCCAATGCTACGAACAGCACAGAAGGACCAAGTGAGCGAGGGCTTGAGCGCTCCCCTCTCGTGAGCCTCCCTTCCTCTCCGTCTGCCCTCCACCCCGCCACACAACAACGGCCGCTACGGCAGAGGCAGCAGCGGCGGCGGCGCTCTGGACGGGGACAAGCAGGCGCACGACCAGGGATGGTTTCGGCCGGGAGGGAACAGTCACTCTGAACAGCGCCTAGTGCAAGAGTTTGTTACTCCCCGCACTAGCTAGGGAGTCCGAGCTCCTTGTGAACATCCGAAACCTGTGAGTCTTTGGGTTGTTTACGCAGCTGTATAGCGGATACCTAACAACCGGTGTAAGGCAGTGTTGCATCGATAGCAAGCAATCTTTTATTGGCGTGGCCAACGCTAACCACCGACAAATCTAGAGCGTGCGTGGTTTCCGCCGCTCCCATTGCTGCTGCGTGAACACAACGCAGCAGCAGCCGCCAATAGCAAACAGCGAATCAAGCCAGCAGTTGCGCTGCGAGACGACGAACCAGGAGCGTACAAAGGCTCTTATCTAGCCAATGAAAACCTTAAAGGAACATTAACTATACGCGCTGTAAGTTGTCGATACACGGTTCCGACGGCGTCGACTGAATCGCTCGGATTAAATTGAGGTCTACGAGTACAAGCATCAAACGAGGGTCACCGCTCTCAGGGACCGGGTCACGCTGATGGTCATTATGTATCAAAGTGTCGAAATATCGATAAAATGAGAAGGTATCTTGTTGAATGTGTAATACGCAGAGAAAGGGAATGCAGAGCTTTTAAGAAGCTGTGCACATATAAGTCTTGGTTCTAGCAATAATACGACAACAGAATTAAAAAAATCGAGTGAGCGAAGTGTGTCGCGCCGACGACGGGGCGCCTGTACTGTTGTTCGGAAATAGCCACCAGCAACTCGGCCCCCTCCACGGCGTGCAAGGGTTTGAGAACGAGACCTCGTGTGTTGGGCCTGGAGGTTCTCTATTGCCTGCAGTGCTAAGCAAAGCAGAGCCTCGACTCGCAGTGTGTGTCTATATAGCCGCCGAGAAGGAAAACAACGAAGGGAAAAGCGGGGTGCTCATTACTGTGTTCTGTTTCCTGTTTCATTTATACGTCTACACGTGGATTTTGTGTCGTTCGTTGAAACCGAAGCCAAAGTTAAAATTAGAGCTCGAATAAATTTATTCAGCTGCCCTAATTGGATAACAGAGTTGTGAATAGCAGGGGAGCAAGAAAAAAAAAAAAATAGAAACGTTCTTTACAAAAATTATTAATTGAACTGCTATAGCCGACCAACAGCGGATTATCTACAGTTATACATCGCCCGGTTAAGTGAAGATACCACAGTTCTTGCGAATCTGTGCCCTTTGTGTTGCTAATATTTCCCCTCACTCCGATTCCTGATGGATAACCACGCAGTGACTTCAATGGGAGGACACCATCATTGGAAAATCGTCACTGTTGCCACCTCTCACAGCTACCATTCCCTTGTAGCCATTAATACAGTAATAGGTCGGCCGTATTGTTGCTGGTGACGTTTCGGGGGAATTAATCCCCTATTCGGACGTGTGTTTATTTAGTAAGACGCGGCAACACGTCGTCTTTGTCGTGAAAGGGCGCCCCGCACGGCCGCACCGTGTTTCCTCAGGGTGCTCCGGGGGGCGCTAAGCCCCCCGGCGTGGTCCGGGTTACAGGGCTAACGGTTGATGGTGGCCTTCGTACAAGTCGCCGCAGTTGGACAGAATGCCTCGTCATCGACCCACAGGTTTTGTCGGCTACGCGCGGTCGAGGCCGAGGACGTGCTCGAGCGCCGTCGGCCGATCACCGTCACCTCCCACAAGGCCCGCTACGGAGGAGCAGCTCACAACCGGCGGCACCCTATCGACGATTAGCCGAATTTCACAAAGAGGAATATCTCTCAATGGACCTCATCGGAATCGGCAGTGCAGACCTCGCCGAATGGATGAAGGACAAGCCTCTCAGCATACTCCAACTGGATCCGGCGGATCGCGCGGTCCTAAAGATTGCAGGTAGGTACTATCATTCTGAAGGATAGAAAAGAGTATAAATATTTCGTACCCACGGCGGAAAAAAAGAGGAGCAATCAACTTTATGGATTATTCGAATAAGTTATTTCCATTGCCTAAGTTGAGGTATTAATAAAAAAAAAAAAGTTTTATTGGAGACTAATGGCCTGCTTTCAGTAGAAGCTAATATAGGCACGCCTGTGTATTCGCTTGGAAAACCACGTGTTCGAAAGGATGGTTATTTTCGCTTGAAACGACGGTGCGAGCAACGACAATAGTTTCGTATGTGTTAGCTTCAGCCCAACGTTCCCGTGTGATTTATGCAGAGCTGTCTGCGCATGACGACGACCAAAACAAAATAAGTACCGTCACCAGTGGTATATACGCCCAGTGCCCTGCACTTCGAAACCCCCATCACCTTAACAACTTACACAAAATGTACTAGTACAGTATTTAGCCCATACGCACACAAGATTATCGGTGTGTAGTTTTTTTCCCATCTTCTCGTGAGAACCATACGGAATCGGCAGTTTACCCAGAGAGAGCCATCCGTCATCGCGCTTATTCACTTGACCATCCACAAAAGCTGGGTAACAGCTGCTTTCCGGCTGATGTTGTTAGTGTTATTTCTTCCAAACTTCCTCTGGCGTTCATTCGACTGACAACTCGACATCACTTATAGGCAAAGTAAGCCTGTAGCGCCAATAGTAGCAGTCCAAGTTGTCCGTATGTTATTTGTCGACCATGACCGTTCGCTGGCCGGTTACGGCCCCAGTTCTAAGGCCGTTTGAGCTTGTCAACTTGTCCGTTTGCCGCCAGCCTCGCTAGCGATCGCGCACTCAGCTAGGACAAAACAAGTGAGTCGAAGTAGAATTCTGCGGAGAAGAAGCAGAGAACCACGCCAGTCTTTTTCTATAGGATGCACTGGCCTCTGAACACAAAGGCTACGACATCATTGACTCGTTGGCCATTGTCATCCGCCACTCAAGCGAGGAAACGACACGCGATCACGCTAATAGTACCTCAGTAAGTGGATTGCTCGGACTTCAGCAACTTCAACTACTGTTGCTACTAGTACAAAGATACAATTCTATTAGAGTGCCTTGTAATGGACTTCTATGCATAATAGAAAAAGTTGCAGCATTTAGCAGAGAACGAATGTTGTTAGTGCCGATAAACTAACCAGGTCAATAGGTATCGGTTACGGCCTGTTAGGTTTGTGACGGTGGCCCGGGGCGCAATTAGTGATAGATGAATATTGTGTTCGTTCGAAGACCTGCCGCACGCCTGCAAACATTATTAGAACTTCTAGTACGTTCATTTACTGGCTGGCGGCTTTCGCCTTCAGTTTGGATCACGAACATGGCGTCGGTTTTCTAAATCTGTTGTGCGGAGAGGACAGGTGAATGGGTCCAAGTACAGAATAGTTAACGTTCTCCTATGACGGCTCAAATTCTACTGTTGGTGATATCGTGTTTGCCAGCGGGCACAGTCCCATAGAGAACCGGGCAGCGGCGACGGCGGCGGTAACGTAACTGCTGCAAGGTCAGAGCTGTTACAAACAAGAGACAGCGACCGGCGGGGTCGATAAGCGTTCTGTCAGCCGCGAATTGAACAGAATACCGTCTGGGTTATTAAATACCAAGTGCACTTCTGTTTAGCTCTAGATACCGCTGTTAGACACGTGTAGTTCACGTGTAGAATTAACGTAGAGTGCTCAGTGGTCGTGTTTTCCTATAGCGATAGGAAAGAAATTCGTTGCAGGACTGCGGGGTTATAAGTTAGAGAAAGGCAATGCGCTAATCTTGTCTTGAGCGTCAGGATCTGTAGATCTAATGTATTCCATAGAAGTAGCGCGCAAACAACATATAGCCTACGACAAATCTTCCGCTCTAGAGAAGATGCATGCCCGTCGAGATATGACGACAGGCTGCATCTAACCTGATAAGAACGAATACAGTTTCATCTTGTTAAGCAATAATAGAGACTTGGCTGGCTGTTGTTGACTTACTAAGCTCAGTGGGCATCACTGTTACGATGTAAGCTGCTTAGTGTGTGTCATATAGTCATATACATATGTAGATCTGGAAGGACGAGGCACAGGAGGAACAGAGCTGTTAGGTAAAAGGATAAATGACCTTCTTGCATTAAAAGTCATGCACACCTAATCTGTCCTCCTATAACCTTGTCTGTTGACTAGTATCAAACCTACCAGGAACACACACCAAACGGCGAAGATGTGTTTTTTTTTTGTCTGTCTGTAGTTTTTCCGCTCCAGCAACACGTTTCTTCGTCTCGGCCGAAGATTTATTTATGTCTTTTTAACGGTTATTGATGTACGGTATCAGACAGATTGATTTCGAAGATATAACGCTGCTGCTGCTGCTGCTGCTGCTAAGCTATATCCGGTGATGAAATAGCACAAGATTAGGGTCTTTGAAGAGACGGCTACCGAGCTGTTTCTCTATTAGATAATGGTGCAAGTGAAAATGGTCAGGACAATCATAATCGGACATCTATCGACAAAAGGCACAAGAATCGTCGCCCGAAACAACGAAAACTGCGAGAATTGCGTAAAATTGTGGGACCGACTCACGCTGAAGACTAGCGTTTGTTATCTTATGGCTTATTGAAGTTATTAGGAAATGCCATATTGATGCGAGATGGAAAACCGATTTTTGGCTTGGCTACTGCAGTATGCATTACACCGAAAATTTCTCTTTAGTAGGAAAAAGAGAGTAGGCCATTCAAAGCTCCTTTTATTGGTCCTGAATTGAACAGCCTCGGTTCAGTGCACTGCTTGTTGGAAGCAGGAATTACTAGAAACTTACTAATGATTTAAGTGTTTGGTCTGAGGAGTGTTTAATAGGTATTTTGGCCTGTAGACTGTGAGGCTTGAGAACGCGCCCAGGATGGTTTTAGCTTCTTGTAAAATTACACCGTTTAGTTAGACCTCATTTAAAACCAAAGTGAATAATTTACAGTAAAAACAATTCCAGAGATACTAATAATGTATAACCGCAGTCATAAGCTCAGAACCAATGATCGTTGCCGAAAGTCGTTGCCACGGTGAGATACGACATTGCAGGCAGATAAAAAGAAGTTGTTACTACACTCCAGTCCCCATACAATAACATCTTTTCTCAAAGCTGCCTGTTTTATGTAAAACACGTCGATAACAGGCTTTCAACTAGCGACTTCTGTTTTTGTTAGTTCGAAGTTCAACTGTCTAAGTTGCTACGCCGACGCACAATAGTAAGTTGTTTAGTGCGAGTTTACTTTTGCTTCTAGGCAAAACGGTTAACTTAATAAATCAATCTTTATTTGCTTCTGTTGGCCGCTTTATTCGCCACATGGTCAGGTCGTACGCACACTCACAGAGGGTGTATATATAGACGTATTACGCGTACGGTAAAGTGCGGTATTTACGTGACGTTAAAATGTATGCCAGCACAATTCTGTTATTGTAACGTTACCGTTATGGCAATTTTTGTCAAGTCGTTGCATTCTCGTTGTCTCCCGTATTCGAAGCGTCTGTCCCTCTTCCATGCCCCTAATTGGAACAGAAGCAGTCGCAACGGCGGCCTATAGCAGAGCTATTTATCCATATCAAATCATATTACCACGTTAGCATAACACAAGCGATATAATTAGAACGATCAAGTAGAGTAGCTTAGGTATCGATAGACGTAAAATATGAATCGGCAAAACGCTCTGGCACAGTCCTTATCTAGCACCTATTAATTAACGACGATATCAGTCAGCTTCGACCAATCGGTCCGTTCAATGGATTGTTGTCACAGTAGTGACGAGAAGGACCGTATAAACGGCCGATTGTTGTCTCCTTAATCTATCGAAACGCAGGCCGCCTGCGGCCTCAATTCGGAACCAAAAAATCGGAGGCTAAACTGAACGGACGTAGTACGCGAGGGGTCCGGCGGTTTCTCCAGCACGAGGTCTATGTATGACACGAGACAAGTTGTACGGGAATGGAGAACCGGCAGCGCAAAGGAGGTGGCACAGATGCGCGACGACGGCGAAGAGATTATCTGTCTATGCTATCGTGCGATGACGCCATTCGCTGCGACTGCCTGTATGCTGCCGACCGGCGGCGCGACCCGTAGCTTTGGACTCACACTCAGGAACCCTTAGCAAAGCTGACGATCAGGCCCCAGGTGCACTGACGCAACGCTGTGTTAAAGATGAGTGAAATAGGAAGAACCCTATAGGTGTCTTTGTGATCTCAGAACGTACGAATACGACACATATAATCTAGCTGAAACACCTGTTATACTAATGATATTTTGTCTGTTATTTCTACCTGCTCTTCGTCTGTCTTTATTTCGTTCAATACAATAGTATGTAGTCCAAAGGTAGATAAACCTATTCCATTGCGCCACGTCGGGGAAATGTATACCACCACTTACTGCAGGAAGGTAATATATCTAGAAAGATATATAACTGCTATCGGAATAGTATATTTTAGTTTATTCTGAATTATACTGTTCTATATCACATAAACTAAAAGATAAGGATCGGTGGCATTCTACCAGAGCTGGACAAAGGCTATTTTTAGTCTCCTGCACACGGCACTTTTGTCGTTCGTCCTATTCGATCGAACGAAATAGCGACGTAGAGCCCTCGGACTGACTAATAACTTTCAACAACTATCAGAATTAGCTATTGAACTTGCTGACATACTCAAACGAAGGTTAAGGTACGCTTCACCTATTCATCCCGCTTCAACCATATTTCTGAAATCTACCAACTATACACCATCGAACCGAGCGTCTTGTGCAGACCCGGGATATTTTATGGCGCAAAGTCGTTGTCGCATAGTAATATATAGCGATGACAGTTACATAACCCTGAACAATTGTGTGAGTTTGCTGCTAGTGATATTCATAGTCGCTTGTGAAGCTGTTGCCTAATAGTTACCGCGCCGAACGAGAGCCACTGCTACGCTTCTATCTTTTACAACCAGTACAAATATCGCCTGTTAT